AGAATTTTTATATGAAAATAGTACATCACTCATACTTATATTGTCTTAGAGGGGCTGCGCCCAATTGGATAAAACTGGACTTACCAGGCTTTGCAGCCCACGGCCCATCGGTATTACGAATCGAAGACGCAATATTTAAAAAATATCGCTCCCTGTAATTAGGATCAAGTAGCAAATTATCCCCTGTATTCACAAAACTTATAAATTACCTACTAGTCAAATGTATGTTTCTATCAAAAAGATAATTATGTCCTCGTTATTAGACATTATCAAATGATACTTTTTCCCTATTATGTATAGATTTCTTTTTACTCCTCTCTTTATCTAAAAATCTATTGTCTAACAATTCGATTAATTGTAATAATAAAAGAGCAGACATTTACTAAATTAAGTCACCAATGTCTCCACATATGCTCTGTGTTCTGTATTTTGTAACATTTCATTTTACCAGAAATGCAAATTTATGAAAGCCACGTGGCAGTGTCCCATATGGTCAATGAGATATATATATTTTTGAAAGATCCAAAAAAAAAAAAAAAAGGAAAAAAGAAGAAGGTATTATAAGCTTCAAAACATTGCCTACCTTGAAAATAGAAAAACAATAATTTCCAATAATTTTATTACCCAAAAAGATTTATATGGTCCACGATGCCAACTATAGCTTCATTCCATATATCCCTTATTTTCAATGCTTCTTTTTCATTCTTGTTCAACGACCTGCCCTTTTATATGATCCGCATGAAACTGTATTGATTTTCCTGTACCACATGAAAGCCAGATATTTCTTTAAAGGGTGTGCGAGTCTTAAATCGTAGTACGTACTACAAAGAGATCGAGATTGAGAAAGCAAAATGTGGCTAAGGTAAAGTTTACGAAAATACTGAATGTTGTAGGAGCCACGCTTGTCATAGCATTATGCTTCTATGTGGTCCGAATATGCATTTATAACGTAACCATGTGGTAGATGGTTGGAGAATTCGAACAAAATCCATATAGAGCTTGGGTGAAGGTTTTAGAGGATTTGGTTACTGGGGTAAACTTCTGTTTTGTAGAACTGAAAAAGAAAAAGAGCTTAGTTAATTATATCACTGACCTCAAGAAAAAAAAATTAATTGTATGCCCAATATTTTAGGTTCATTACTTTGAAGTATATCTTTAAAGTTTTACTAACAAAAGAGGCCAAAAGATAAATATGTGGAATGTGTCAAATTTTGGCTGAAAATTTAGTTTTGATGCTCAACAAAGAGGAAACAGAATATTTTGAACTGAAATCGATTTGCAAGTTTAACTGGTTTTATTTGATTCAATTTTGGCAAAGCTTAATCAAGTTTCAGTGCCCCCGAAAAAAAAAACTGCTGACTTAAGGGCGTTTTCTAAATTAAGTGACCACAAAATGTAAATATGAATATTGGCAGGATTTGAAATTAATTTGTGAATATAGAAGTGATCAAGTGGATCCATCCATCACTCTCCTTTACAAGAAAAGACATATATATAACAATTGATACCAACACAAGTTGGTTCAACTGGTAGAAACGGTCACTTTCTCACGAATGATCGATCGTGTGTTTGAATCCTATTCTAATACCCGACGTGAGGATTATATTGATGAATGATCAATAACACTCCTCTTATAAGTGATTTATGGTATTTTGAAAGTATGCTTGAACACGTGGTGGTGGTGGTGGTGTCCAAACTATAGTTTAAATTTTCATTCCTACCCGTCCAAAAAGAAAAAGTACTTGCATGCCTATCTAACTTATTCCATTTTTTTGGCCTTCATTCCCACATACCTAGCATGACGCCTGCATGATGCCGTCTACATTGCAAAATTGCAATGGACCAATAAGCAATATCTTTGTGGTCACTTTCTTCAATTTGTTTCCAAGCTCTAGGCGAGAATGGTTGTTGGCTTATTGCACGAGGTACCACATGCTTAATAAATTTGACCATTAGATTGACTGGGAGAAGGTTGAACGTGATACATATTACTGATTGGATTCTAGCTTGGCTTCCAAGATTTGACTCTTGGAGCTTTGCCTTCTTTATGCTCCTTTCTGAACTTTTCCCCATCTGGCTTTGGCTTTGGATATTGTCTAAACATTTTTTTCAGATGCCTCTAGATCTTGTATCCTCTCATAATTCCTAGACATATATTTTCAGAGTAATTTACATGAGAAATTCAGTTCGATGCGAGTATAGGTAAATTTATGGAATTTAAACTGATATTTTCGCGCTAAATCCTTACCATGGTATAATCATAAGATCGACCAAGAAAATAAAAAAAAAAGGATGAAAAAGAAGAAGAAGATTATATGTTGTTGAAATTACATTTTCATGCATCCGGACGGGTAAAGGGGTTAAAGCACTATGGAGAATGTGGTTAAAATTCTCTCTTGATCCTCGTAAAGCAAATATTCTTTGAAAATGAAAAACGTTCATTTCTTTTCTTCTTTACCTAAGCTTTACGTAGCCAATTAGATCAACTGCACCTTCCCTGTGGGGTTAAAAGAAAATGCCTTCTGATGGCTCTTTACAACCATGTGTTTGCCAAAATCAGCAAAAGAATAAATCAAAAAAAAAAAAAGAGTGGAAAAGAAAAGAATAAAGAAGAAAGGGAAAAGATAAACCCTTAAATTAATTACAGTGGCAGCTAGGTTCCTTATCATCAACATCATTCAGTCTGTTGACTAATGCTTATTTGCTTACTCTCCTATTCCTCTGTTGGGATCATCCTTTTTGGAATAGGACAAAGAACAAAGATAATGAGTTTCAACATCAAATTCAAGAGATAAGTCATGATGAATTGCAATAGTCAATTAATTTGCCAGGAGGGTTTTTGGCTACGTTTAAGAGGCACGAGGCCTAATCAATAATGGCCCAGTACTAATTGCAATTATATTGGTTCAAGGTATACAATGCCAATAGTAGAAAGTTGAATAATCATGGAGTCCACCACCATCTTCATTCAGATACATTACCAATCAATAATCAATTATGAATTTGTGATTCTTGGTCGTGCTTATTACACATATTTCTCACCCCCTCTCCCCCCCCCCCCCCCCCCCCACCCCACACAAAAAAAACCCAAAACAGCAAATCAACCAAAGGAAAGTGAAAAAGAGAAAAAATTACGTGCTCTATGTAATTATGTTCTATGAGCCCGTTTGGCAGGTTCCGGGGGCCTGCAAAGGAAGCTAGAAGAAAAGTGGCAATGCATCAAAAGCATAATGGTATCTCAATCATTTAAACAAAAAAGCAATTGCAGACATATGTTTCCAACTCATGAGAAGAGAGGGGAAAAAAAATTGTCTGGATGTTGTTCGTTTACTCATTCTTGTAGCCAAGGCCAGTGGCCCATCTCTTTCCTTTTCGGTCAAATTGCCAGCCACTGAGATCCTCAATGTCCTTCTCGAATGGAAAAGAAGAAATTTGGTGGACGAAAAAAGAATTTATGGGACAACTAACCACTGCAAATCAGTCGGCAGATGTATCAGTTTTCACGTGAGGATCGTGTTTTCTTGTTCTTGGTATTAATATCCAGACCCCTTTCAACCTCGTATTGGCTCATGAATGACTATATAATTAACAGTTATTCCTTGAGACCCTGAACTTCTTTTTTTTTTTTTTTTCTTGCTCTTGTTCATCTTTTTTATTTTGATGAGGACCTTTAAATTGGAAGTCTGAATTTTTGGGGCCTTCCTTCACTTTCCTTTTCCCTTTAAGATACTGCACCGGTAAATAGCAATATGCTTCTTCGAAAGTTGTCAATTTGCAATACCGATTTAATCTGTTCAATTTTTCTTTACCTATTTAATCTAATCCTTGCTACTACGGCTTTTATAAGAACTGGCTACTTTTTTCTTTGTTTAACCCAAACTAGCTACGAACAGGTGTATCATGTTCCCTGTTCCAACCATTGTGGGAGGCTACTTTATTTCTGTTCTCATCTTTCTGGTAACCGCCACGGCATTTAATTGCAAATTGCGAAAAAAAAAAAGAAGAAGAATTTAGGCAGCAAATTGATAAAATGAGGTTGTCTGTCAAATGGTACAGATTTGAAATGAGTCAAATGACCATTCTAGTAAACGAAGAAAAAAAATTAAGGTAATCAAATCAAACATGTTGATAAAACTCAAACTGTGAACAATCATTTAGATGCTCAGCGGTAGAATGTCCAATGTAATCTCCTAAGAATGATAAGACCTTTAAGCCAAATATATTACGATTAATTTCACTTTGTACCCTTTGATTATATCTAAATTTCTAACTTGTTACCTAAACTTCAAAATGTAACACTTTAATCTCTGAAGCATAAAATTTGTCCGATTTTAGTTTTTAAAATATAAAATCTTCCAATTCCAGTTTCCAAAGTGTAAAATCTGTCCCGCTCTGATTCTCAAGGTATTAAATTTGTCTTATTTAAGTATAAAATCTATCTTGCTTCTGACACATAATTTACTTAAATGGGATAAATTTTATATTTTAGAGACTAAAGTATTCCATTTTATAGTTTAGATATCAAAATGAAAATTTAAGTACATATGAAGGGTGCAAAGTGAAACTAATCTAATATATTACTCTACAAGGGAATAAAGGATTAGTCTTTCATTTTTCCTTTAATGAAAGGTCTCCTCGAGATAGTGAGCATTTGGCATGAAACCTTACTCAGCACATATTAGACCAACGAGCTTTCCTAGCATTGACCTTTCTTGCATTGTGATTTGCATGGGCTAGCCTAAATTCATGTGTCAAAGAAAATTTTCATAATCCAACAACATGGATATAAAATTTGGTCACAAGTATGATGTCAACGTGACAGTATGCTTGGGTTGCTTTGCTGGGTATTTCCTCCATGACAAACAAGCCAAAAAGAACTCTTTTTATTATATAGATAGAAAAAGCGAATTAATTCCACGAAAGTGTGCTTCTTTTCATTGAACATTAGCTTTGATGAGTAATAAAATAAGCAAAAGTAAATTGCTCTGAAGGCCGTCGGGTTTAACACGGGTTATCATCATTGAATACATGGTACAATTTCTTGCTTGGTCAGCAAATCAATAGATTCCTTTTATCCATAGAGGCACCCAGTATACATAACAATATCCCTGTCAAGAAGAATAAACAGATGAAGAAGACGCCAATTTGTTTACTAGCACTACCAAAACTAACTACAAATATTAATGGGTTTTGGTCTATTTGTGTAAGTTTTATACGACATACATGACAGGGGGACACTAACAAGGAATTAATGCCACCACAAAAAAAAAAAGATATTGAAGCCACAATTCAGCAAATAAGCAAGTTTAATTTCCAGAGATTTAGCAAGATCACTGCTGAATTCTTGAAGACAAGGCATCCACCAAATTTATCTGAATTATCAGGTTAGCTAGTTACACGAACAAATTATTTTCACAAGTAGCGCTAATTATTGGTATTTATATATTTAGCAATGATCCCACAAGAATAGATCTTCAGTCCACAATTCCCCCTGAGTAGATTCATAACCAGCGAGCTGCCAGGGCGATTTGTAGCAGAATTCATCGAATTGGTGATCACTAAGGTCGAAGAAAAGATCAGGCAAGTCAAGAAAAGGGTCATCATCTCTACCATTATGGCTTAGTACTGGAGAAGCTGAAGAGTCAGATGTCACTGTACCCTCGGGAGAATAAGGCTCTTCTAGCTTGTCCGGACTCAATTCTCGATCATCATGGCTTGTTGGAGCTGCTAATGCAGCTGCCTTTGCCGCTGCAGCTTGGATATCTTTCGGCAACTTTGAGGCCGGACGGGGGAGCTGATGAGCCAAGTCTGGAAAATTGAGGAAAGCGGAGTGGCCCTTTATTGCAATTGCTGCTACATCATGAGCTCTAGCTGCCATTTCTGGAGTTGCAAAAGTGCCTAACCAGATTCTTGATTTCTTCCTGGGCTCGCGAATTTCGGACACCCATTTGCCCCAGCTGCGTCTTCGGACGCCGTGATACGTGGGATTCTCCCCTTTTCTTGCATCAAGATGGTCATTTTTCTTGGCCCTTTTGCTCCTGGTGTCTTCTTTTGTTGCATCTGGTTTGATTGAAGGATCATACGATGTTGAAGAGGTCTGCTGCTCATTGCCCTTCATGGTTTGAAGGTGTAAATTTGTTTGGCTTTGGAACTGGTGGGGGTTGCAGATTAGAGGGAACGTGTAAGGGAATTTTTATATGGCAATCTTGGCTCCCATAATTCTGACACAAAATGGAATAAAGTCAAAATATATATATAAAGAACTGGGGTCTGGGGGGGAGCTAAAGACCAGGCCAAAGCTCTAAAGTGCCATAGCAGAGGTCTATCATGTTGCCTATGGCTATGTTGATTAGATATGGTGAGAATGGGATCCGACCCTTACTTCTACATTGGTTTCTGTCGCTAAATAATACGCTATAAGTCAAGAAGTTCAGTGTAATGTAGTCAAGAATTAGTACATAGTAATGAAATTCTTATTTTGTGTACTCATTAAATACCTATACTATCCTGACCCTGACCATAAAATTGAGAATGAAAACAACAAAATAGGCTCCTTTCAGTACTCTTACTTTTCATAGGTAACGTGGTTGGAAATAAGTTTCTATTTCATTTTCCATCTGTGTTATTGCCATTATTAAATACTATAAGGTGGTTGAGGAGGCTAATTTTTCAAGACTAGAACTGTGAATCTTGTTCGAGTGTTAGTAATGTAGATCAATTGGCCATTCTTTTGGGTTAAAACATGGAATACCGCGTCATGTTATGGATATTTTATTCCGTCAATGAACATATGGTCCCTCTAAGTTGGACCATGCATAAGCATAATCCTCCCTTGGATACCTCAACGAATTAAGCAGCTCTATTTACTGCCAAAACTAAAGTAAAAATCATGCTCGCTACAGATTAAAGAAGCTGTTCCCAATAATGAATAATGGCGGCCCCTTGTAAGCTTTATGATTGAGACGGAAGCGGGCATATAATAATAATAATTCTCAACACATTACTGACTGATGCAATTTGGGAATATGATAAATTTACCAAAACTCTTCCAGCTGATCGAGCAAACTTTATTGTCAAGTCAAATAGAATGGCAGAGGTTAGAAAAGATGATCTGATTTTCGTACTGCTGCACCATTATTTTTGGTTTCAAGACTAACTAGAAACTTAGAACACGCATAATCTGTCTGTCTATTTTACGTGGTATGAAAACGTTCCCCTAAATAATCTAATCACTGTACCAAACCCGTGTGGGGGTGGTGTTGGATAATAACATTTGCTTCTTGAAACAAATAGGCCTTCCCTAAGCACTTTTTTTCATGAATATATATTTTCAATTACTCTTATTTTTTTACTCTATATATATCAAATTGTTACGGTAAATTTTATTTCAAAAATTTCTAAAAATAGCAATCCAAACAGATATGTTTTTTTGGGGGGAGGGGGAGACAAATAAAAAATATATTTTTTTAAAAGCCAAATAATGTATGAAATAGATGTATCTGTACTATTTTATTTTTGCTAGCTGTTGTGAGGTCTCCATGACTACATTATAATCGGCTGCTATGCCTAACTATTTTGGTTCTGAATTCCTTTTATATTTGGTTTTTTGTTTTTCTTAAATCCAGGTTCAAGAATGGGCTGTTTAAATATCATCCTAATTAAAATGCTTGTTGCTTAAGCTTGAGAGACAGCCTTCCAAACAATATTGACAAGTATTGTGGAGATCTATCTCAATTCAAGCTCTGTTCCCGGGACTTGATGCTAAAGCTAACTATTCTTAATTTTCATGTGCGAAAAGATCAAACAGTAAAAGCAAAAGAAAGGAATGAAATGAGTTGTAATTGTACACGTGTTCATTAATCAACTAGCTAAGGTAAATTAACCTTTAGATTGCTCATTTCCTAGCATTTACAAAATAACCAGTATTGTAACCGTGCTAGGCACAGATTTATGTTTAATATAATAATAATAGTAAATGAACTATTTATATTAGTTACATGAAAATTTTTTTTAAAAAAAGTGCTATTTTAGTATCTAATTTATATTTTATTTAAAACATTAAAGTATATTAAAAAAATAAGAACAAAGATCACCAAAATACCTTAAGAAATACCAAAAGCACATTAAGCACAACATTATTACCTCTTCCTTCCACGTTCTCTCTTTTTACGTTACTTTTCCTCAACATTCCCCTACTCTTCATTACCCTCTTCCTTATTTTTCTAACCCAAAATTCCCACATCTATCCAACTTTTTCTCCTCCAACAAACTATACCTTCCTTTTCACCCTACCATGCTTCTATCAAATTACGCAATCTCTTATTTAATTTCGCAACTTATTTACCTTCTATTTTACTACTTTTTCCATTCGTTTATAGTTGTAAATAGTGACCAATTTCTCAACTCATTCTTTAACAAATGAGTGTCGGTATGCTATTTTATTAGTTTCAAATGCATAGCATAATTAAACTCATTAATTAGTGGCTATTAAATTGATAGATTGGGACTACTTGTTTAGAGTTAATTAAATTAGACATAGATTCAAATTCATTAGTAAGTAAATTTAAATCACTATTGATACAATAATTATATTCTACTTTTTGCAAAGACATATTTAACCTTCTTTTCCTATTCTTTAATTTTTATTTTTTAAAATCTCATCCTACTTCCTTTCTCCTTTCCATCAAAGTTTTAATTAACTCATTGAATGTTAATTAATTTCTTACATTCACACCTAAATTATTTGAGATTTTTGTAGAGTGCAAATTTTGAGACTCATCACTATTGGTTCTTCTATGTAATTTTTTATTTTTTAGGTAAATATTTATTTATTAACATAATGTGTATTTTTTTTTTGTTGATTACAATGATATCTTATTTTGTTGTTCAAAGAATATGGGAGAAAAATAAACAAAATTTGTAGTGGATTGTAAATGGGTAAGATAACCAATATCATGCAAAACTATACCCATTTAACCCACATAAATCACCCATTTTGATAGTTTCATCCCAAACCACAATTACAACTCTCTTGACTTTAACCCTCTCCTTCATAGCTCTAAACTCCTATCTTTCCATTCCTTTTATTATTTAGTATTCGTTACCTCGCTTTTCAAGTGTTTGAATTGACATAGGGTTAGTTGTAAATCACTATTTCAAACTTTTTAATTGACTTTATGTATTAAAATAAATGAAAAATCCAGAAAAAAAGTATGAAAGATTTGGAAATCATCCAGGGGCCTCCATTAAAACCTTCCCTGCAATACATAGATGTATAGATTATGCCACCAGCTCAGATTTATCTTTGTGTTTTAGAATACATTTTTATCCTAATCACCCATCAGCAACCTTTTCTCTCCCACTGTAGATCAATAATAAATAAATTAATTAAGTGCATCGATAAATATTTCTACAATAATAAAGTCTCTGTACTTAGTTTGAATGGTGTAAACTTTTTCTGTCATTTTCTATATTTTCAAATTTACCCTCACTACAAATGTTCAACTGACACTTAAACACTATGTACAAAATAACTACCATAATCCAAAAACCCTGACAAAATGACTATCTCAATCCAATAATTGCGTTCTTCTCTACTAATTTCACTCGAAATATTATTTCAAATAATTACTGTAACACTTTTTATAATGTGATGTATGTGAGATAAAAAAAAGTAGGTTGGAAAATGTGTTTATGATGCAAGCGAAATATTATTTGGGATAAGTTCACTATCCAAACTACTATTTCCTTCGTACAAGCTTCCCGTACTTTATGTTGTAACTAACTCTGAGTGGTTAACACAAGCACCAAAGTATGAATGGGAACCAAACTAATGGTTAGTAGTACACTAAAATACACAAAAAACTAAACAGAACAATTCAAAGGTGATTCAATCAATAAGTGAATTATGTTTTTTAAGTTCCTAGTTTTTCTTTTCTTTTTGCATACTCAAATTTTCATCATTTTCTTGCTAAGCAAGGTAATCAATGTATGGAAGTAATGTTCTGTTCCTACGTACTCAAAATTTGCATTTTCTTGCCCAAGTAAACTGCCAAGGATGTTAAGAACTAATTTTGATATTTTATACTGAAAATTTATCATCTTCGTATTAAGTAAAGTGCTAAAAATGTTAAGAATTAACTATGAGTCTGCCCCATCACTAGTTTGAATAATTCTCATACAAATAGATAAATGCAGCTATAACATTATTATTGACGATCATCGTTGAGTGAATAAACATATTCTAAGTTAAACAGTTTTAAAATGAATATATTAAATTATATTGTCAAATTCACAATGGCACAAAAAAATTTTACTATCAAATTATATCAAATTAAACATGTTTGGATGGTTATTTTTCTTCAAAATAATATTTTTACATTTTCTGTGAACATATCATCTTTAATCATATTATTATCTCACATACATCAAATCGATACAGTATATTTTTCTACAAAAACTCCAAAAAATAGCAGTTCAAACGGGCAGAACCATGATAAAATTCTTGAACATATTGAATATCCAGATTAATGCTAATAATTTAACTACAAAAATTATTGATGGCAACACAGTGAAATTGCCTTGGCCGGGAAGACAACGAAAAAGTTCGGACAAATAAACAAGCACGATGGCGACTGATTGGTTGCTCTAAATTTACGAAAATATGCCTGGCTTATTTTTAATTATGAATACTTTGGCTTTACATAGTTGTCTACTTTCTACTCAATGATAGGCAGGCACTGCAATTTAAGCAAATTTCACGTGTCAATTTTCTTCCCATGAATATTAGTGCTAGCTAGTAGTAGTACTAGAAACATGTCTTCCGTATAGAATAGAACCCCACTCCAAAGTCTCAGGTCCCAACCACCCAGCTTTCGAGTTTCAATTGGTTGCTTTGATTAATGTCGAATTTTGTACTAGAAAGTAAGATCAAAATAATGAACTCAGGAGATGTGGAGACACCAAAGCATATTCTTGGGTCCTTCAAAAAAAAAAAAAAAAAAAAGAGAGCATATTCTTGGGCCGCTTATCTAAGCCAGCACTGATAATTATCCACATTTTTCTCTTAAACTAATCAATTAGCGGACTTAATTTCGATCGATCCTAAGACGATGCATTATTGATCTCATCACATTACAACGTTTGTTTGTCGTTTTTACGTTTTATCTCGATTTCTTAACCTCATTAAATCCTCACCGTAGGAAGCCAATTTTTGGCTAATCACAGGTTTCGGGCCCCATGATTAACCGCATATATATATATTTCCAAAGACGAGTAACATCTAGATTCATTGTCAAAGGGAAATGATGAG